GGAATAATGTATGTCAAAATGTCATAAATTGCACCCTGTCTGTTAGTATCACTTCTCCCAGCATCACGAATGGAAGACAACGTCTAGTTATCTGACTTTCTAGTTAGAATAAAAGTTTCACTAGAATTTCGAACCGGCGTGCCGTCTAAGAAACAAAATCAATCAAGATAGTGAACGATGTCGGGGTGTCTGTTGTACTAAAAATTTACACAGATATACTGTATGGTCAAAGATTACATATAGATTTTATATTTAAACGATTTGTTGAAATATACAAAATTTAAGTTTGATATTCCTTTCGAAAAAAACAAACATCTTAGATGAATGCATTGAAGAGACCCAGATATCAAAGAGTCTCAAGGCTAAAGAAATATTATTACGAAACTGTTGTTTTTGATGATGATTACTTTTGTACCTTCTTCATGTATTTGAAGTCCCAAATTGAGGTCGTTGTGGATGAAAGTTTTTTTTTCGTTTTGCGGAAATATCAATCATACATCTAACGTATTACCATTGCGATTAAATGCACAAGACAATGGTCGTCATCGTTACCGTTTACCTGACCGGAAACTGTTTAAATGTGCGCTGATGATTTGTTGTGATTTTCGCATGATCATCACTATAACTGCAATCCCTATTTGGTCACACATTCTGCTAATCAAACACAATATTATTCAATTTCATTCAAACTGTTGTTTCGTTTTATTTCACGTGAAAAAATCCGAATGAGTACAGTAAATGCCGGGGCACACTTCGAAAGCGTCACGTTGGTGTCAACGGAAACCTTGTGTTCACATTAGTCCAATTTGAATTGGTCAATCTAACGCAGAGAGAAAACATCGTGAACACTCGTGGAATTAAAAAATTAAAAGACACTGTTCTGTACGGCATCTTGGTTCATATATATCGCTGTCTTGACAAATTCGAACAATGCAACGCGTGTAGTAAAACAAAAACATAAAATCCGGACGCTAGCTAGTCAGCTCATAAATCGTTTACAGGTGAATGTCAAAGCCATTACGGTTATTCAGTTTTTAAACACCCCCTCAATATGTTAATTCAAATCATTCTCTGAAAAAAATATTGTAATTGATGAATTGAATCTCTCTTGAAAGCATCGGACATGAACACTGCGTATTAAGGGTGCGTTGTGTCTAAACACACGGCCTACTCAAGGCTCAGTATATAGGCAACATACATGAATCGATTACCAGTGACATATTCGCTACCTTGTGCTAATACGGCGCAGATCGATCGACATGAACTCCATCGATTACTATCTACTTGTAATTAAGTATGGAGTGAATACAATGAATGGCAATTACCGTGTTGTTGTTAAGTCGCTGCTTCTGAATTTTGTTCAACAAGCAATTCGTGTTTTATAAAATGTTAAGCAAATTGAAGGTGGAAATAACAAATGGTTCTGAGTCGTTTTATGGTAACAAACAAATTTACAACTATATAAATTATCATAAACCAAAACAGAACAGATTTATCTAATATGTAAAGGTAAACAAGTGCGATTCCCTTACAAGAGATTCGCCTTGTGTCGCTCTCTGATATGATATGATATGATATACACTCAATAGTATGATTTGCGATGTAATTAGGTGTCTTATGGAGTTTGTCACTTCGTATTTAAACCTATCACTTGATGAAGAAATAAAGCGCGGATGTAATTGAATATAGGCAATTGATTAGTTTGGTTTCATCACGTCGACCTATGATTGATTGCATTGATTTCGGCGATTCCCTTTGTGCGCATTCACTGTCGCCTCAAAGTCGTGTCGAGAAGTGAAGTCTTCATTGAAACCGACTTTATTTGTGGCTCTATGAACGCAAGCTGTAGCGCCACGATGTTCAACGCACATTTGCCTCTAATTGGTCTCGTTAACAAAAGATCGTGATTTTTTATATGTAAAACTTCTTGCTGACAACTCAAAGATCCTCCGATGATGACAACCCAGTCCGAACGCCTAGATGCAAATATGAAATACACCGTGTTTAGAGTTCAAGATCGAATGACTGATGTGAATGTCGCCTGTGTCAATTCCACGAGCGACATTCACATCATCGAATGACTTTTGTTTTTCTTAGTGATGCTTGAAATTGGTTTGGAAATGGACATTGGACATCAATCATGCGTGAGTGTCAATGTGCGAAGCCCTTCTGGTACTGGCACTCGCAATTCATAACATCATTAATTTGCTTGGAATGCGTTTATATTCTACGACGATTTGCCGAATAGTTCATTCTCCGTGAACCACGGGGCGCAACAGTTCATGGTTAAATGTCAATTTACTGCGTGTTAACGAGACATTTAATTCAATTTGTTTCTTATATTCCGCTTCAATTGCTCTACAGTCTCAAATTTACATATAATTAATTAAATAGGAGTTCACACTTTCTCAAGACCCACAACATCGTTGTATAATTTTGGTTCATTTATTGTTTTGAACACAAATATCAGGATAGGGTCAGAATATTGCCTGAAATCATCAAATAGATTAGATCGTTAGTTGCAGTTCGTGGCGATAAAAATATAGTTTCGATTCCCAAGCAACAGCGAACATCATACGTGTGACAACTTACTGAAACGATGTTATAATAACGTTCCTATGTATGTGTGAAACCTACACCGCTTCCACCATGACCCACATAACTCATCAAAGTACGATACATTTGATAGCATCTTTCTGAAAATAACCTAACAATTTCGTCTCTCGTTTATCACTAATCATTTCACATGAATTCAGCCGATTTTTCTCGAATTTCAAATCGTTAATTATAGTATCCTCGACAATATACAGACTCCTACTAGTCAGCCATTACGCATATATAATTCTCGTAGAGACATTGGGGTTATGTGATACACTGCAGCCGCATTACCAAAAAGCTAACTCCTTATCTAAAATTATCGATCACCGTTTCATAGTGAAATATTACAACAACAACAACAACAACAAGACACATCACAGTTTTTAAGTGGTTATATACTTGGAAGTTATCAAGGAGTGAGCACGACGATCATAAGACACAAGAATGCAATTACATTCCTAAATAAAAAAAATAGGAAGTAATTAGCACAGCAACGTGTTTTCAGAAGGTCTAGTAATGTAACCTGGGTCAATGGGTCATCGACGTTAGCTTGTACGCAAATTGTTCATATATATATATTATCTATTTTCCAGTTTTAACCACTACCAATATAAATAGGTTATCATATAATGTTTTGATATTTGTGAATAATTGTATCATGACTGCCAGTTTGCATATTTCGAATAGACTGAGTTATTCAGTGTGTTGACTACGATCATTAATTTTGGTACAGTTTACCAACAATGATCGTAGTGGGTCAACTGAAAAAATCTCTTTTAAATCATTGCAAGCTCAGAGTGGAAAATTGATTTACTAGAAAGCCAATAAAATGCATACTTTTAAACAATAAAAAACAACAAACGAGATCGTATTTTAATCAGATTGACACCTAATCTACAAATTACACAGAAATACTGCCTAATCGTTATTCCATCAATTACTCAAATTTGATTAGTTCAAATATTGTACAATAATTCCTTGAATTGAAATTGCTCATTACTGACGACCGATGTATGAGTCACCGCCTTGTTTTTTACATCCGTCATAATTTCATAAGTGGTTACTACACCCACGATAACAAGTGTATTCAGTTATTAAGATTGTGTATTTTGTATTTCATGTTTTTAAATTGTTAGTCACCCATATATGTGAGAAAACAAACGAACTAGAAAATTTATTGTCTAAATAAACAAAGCCCTTGGATCGTCACCGGCGTATACGATTTTACGCGTGACATGCGATACCGACCAGAGTCATATTACATTAGCATGCTAACATGGTATTTTACATTAAAATAAGATTTTAAGTTCAAGTTCAAGTTCAAACTGATTAATTTCAAATAACAAGTTCACGGAAACGACTATAGTGTTTTGATCGGTCAGCATGCAAGAGAGATATAAAGTGCCTAAAAATTTGTAAAACACAGAGCTTTCCAAATTAATTCGAAATAACAAATTATAATTGTATCAATAAATTACGCAAAGACGGAGTGTTATCCCGTATCTTCTTCACTTCTATATAAATGTATTGACTACTAGGAGATGGGTTGTGCCTAATCGCGTTCAAGTTTAGGTACCATACATTCTTTTAAAACTCGTACACGCACCCTTAGCCACAAAGTTATTCGATGGAACGGTGGATATTAAAACGCGAAATAGATATCACATATGGTTGGCAGGCCGTGTGTGAAAACTAACATTTCGATATAAAGCATCCAATTAGTATCTCATTTCACCTCATATTAGCTTTCGGTTCAGGTGATCCTTACCGTCTTTTGAGATGTTACAAAAGATTGAGGATGAGCCATTGCACAAAGAGAGAGGGGGAGAGGGAGAAGAACGGAAAACGTAATAAAAATACACCTGAGATCCGTTCCCTCTAGTATTCATACCGTTTCAATTATTCGCAGTAATTGGGTGTAGTTATACTTATATGTGCTCCCAGTGGGGGTTATTGAGTTCTCCTGGATTTGTAATTGCTAGTTGAGGTGTGTATTTGTCGGCTCTACACACTTGACCGAAGGTTATTCAATTCCAACTCTCTTATTTGAGATGATGAAGAAAAGATTGACCCTCGGCGTGACACTTGCATTGAGGATTTCATTTTGAGAGCGTTAGACAAGGTAATGATATAATGGATGTCAAAAGATGCCGGTGAGGCACCTGGGAACACGCCTAACTGCAGATGCACTACACTCCGCTGACCCCAATGAGCAAACATCCGTGGATGTATCCCTTGTTTGAATAACCTAGCTTGATTTGTATTTACGCTAGTCGAGACTAGAAGCCTGAATGCACGTACGGTATTCTAAGATGCACTCCTTCCCTCAAAGACTAATTACGTTAACACACGCTTCTCAGGTCAACAGACATAACCCCATGCATCACAAGAACTACCCATACCTCATACTATACAGCACATCTCCATTTGGTGAGATGCGTAGGAGTTTGTTATCTACGGTAATCGAGTGGAATTTCCCGTCTTTTTCATTAATGAAGTACAAATCCGGCACCCATATCTTCTCCACAAGTTTGTTATTCAAACTGATTGTATGATTTCCATGGAAAGCAAGGCGTGGATCGTTCCATCTCTGGCGCATGAAGAAGGTTACGCTGTAATCCTACACGAGAGAAAATAAAATAAAACGCCCACTGTTAAAGGAAGTTCTTGGCAAGAAACGTCTCTGATGAAATGTACATGTGTTTGTATGGAAGAAATAGCTGAGTGGACGAATCGACACTGAGAAGTACAAAGTTTATTTCAATAAAAGCAATAGATTAGTCACCTTCATTAAATATTAACAGACAACAACAAAACCAAAAAGCCATCGACTGGTACAGAATGACACAAATATAGAGGATGTATTGTATGCAACACGTCAGAACTACCTTTTACACATATTTACATATTGAGTTGTAACGAATCACCGCGAGTGTTGGAGTCATTATACCCTCATTTTCAATCTACAACGTGGTCATTACATTGATTCTAGAGTTATTATCGGCTCGGGATTCAGATTATAAATATCGATCCATGACATTAATGGAATAAAACGAGAATTCCCGTCTTAAATGACACATAAATAATTGTAGTTTTATTACGAAATGCCCAGACACAAAGCACATTGCATATACGTAATGTTAAAACAATTGATTTATGAAAAAAAACAGTATCATGTTACGGGGTTTAACTGTTAATTATTGCATGAATAAAAAAAAATATATATATAGTAGTTGATCTGAACAATTTATCTTTGTTACGACATATTCTTAAATTGAAAGTTTATTTTTTTAATTTTCCACGTCATTTCACTACTCAACATGCGTGAGTGATCGACATTCACATTTGTTGAGTAGTTTTAGTTTCTATTTGATGTAGTGTATTTATGAATGCATAGGCGGGAATCGCTAAAACATTGGAATCCAAGTAAGTTGAATGCAGAAAAGAATGACAGTATAACGTAGACAACAGAAGTCATTCCTCGCGACACGCTTTTATTCAATGTTGAATATTTTGGAATGTAAATTAGATAAGTTGAGGCTGGATATTAGCTAAAATAACATCATATCTAATTCGGACATGAACTACAGAGAATACTGATGAGAAGTGATGTATTGGTTGGAAAATAGTGAGTTCCTGTTTCGTGTTTCGAAAATAGTGAGCATAAATTATGAGATCATGACGAAAATAAATACTCAAAGTATGCGCGGAAAAAGCAGTTTGGAGACATATCGACCGGCGCGTAGCTTACTGAATGACGTAGTCGTAATTGAATGAAGTATACCATAGCCAGAAGTTTTAGCGAAAATCATTTAACCATATTCGCATTTGCGCTGCATTGTTACTGTTTCGATGTTAACAAAGAAAAGGATTCGATCGTGACGTAAATATGACGCACAATTTGGAAGACGGCCGTAAAATGTTTCAATACGTCCATATGGCGTTTTATTCCATTATTTATTTTTTGCTGTGTAATAATACTTGACATGTTACACCTACTGTATATCAAATGATGTTATAACCATACGTGCTATATCACATCACTAGTATTTAATATATATATATATATATATATATATATATATATATATATATATATATATATATATATATATATATATATATATATATATATATATATATAT